CTAGTCGCCTTCTTGAGAGGGAAGCAATCGTTATAAATCTTTGTATACATTTCATGAAAGCGTTTGTACGCAATATCTGGCTCATCACAAGTTTTAATCGAAGACCAATCAACAGCTTCTAGTTTTTCAACAAAAGTAGGAATATTATTCGGATTCTTATCTCTAATAAAGAAGGGGTCTTGTCGACATCGATTTACCGACGTGTTAACGTTATCTGAATGAATTGAGAAGACGGGTAGATGATCTGAAATGTCAGTAAATAATAAGCCGCTTCTCCAACGTTCAAAAAAAGTTGTTCGCAAAAATATTATCTATTAACGTAGCAGTATGTGAAGTAATTCTCGAGGACGCGTAATCAAAGGAAAAACATATTAGAGTACATTCCATCTAGGAATTGGCCTGTGAGGTGATGATTTTGGTAGTTAATTAAATTAATATTAAAGTCCCCCATTAGGAAGCATATTTTGTTTTCTCTAGAGATATTACCTAACAACTCATTGTTTGTAGACAAGAAATCGTCGAGTCTATGATTTGGCGGTCTGTAAACAATACCAACAATTATATTTTTTTCTCGAGGTCTTATTAATTCAATGAACAGTGATTCTACAGTATCAACATTATGGAGGGACAAATCTTCTCGAAGTTTGAACTCTAGATCGTTTGAAATATAAAGCCCTACCCCACCTCCAGTTCTATTTTGCCTATACTTGTGAAGAAATCCTAAAGGGAAAGTTCGTTTATTGTTTGGATAGGATATGAATCTTTTTTTTTTTTTTTGCCCACTATAAACGAAAAGATGTTCGTGACTGAAGCTGCCTAATTTCGTCTTTTACTCTCGTCCACTTATAACAAGTGCAATCTCCTTTGAAGTCTTTTCTTTTGGAAGAAAAAATAGAAAAGAGAGTAGCGAAATCAATTTAGTTTCTAGCATAAAATATACTTAGACAAAAAAAAGAATACTTCAAATTCACTCCCTGATTCAGGAGTTTATTTATTTATTTATTTATAAACTTCCCCAAGAGGCCTGGATCACTCACAGAGCAAGCTCCACTACGAGTTCCAGAGAAAAAAAACGAAAATTAGTGATACAACTAACAAGAATGACAATACTAAGCTATACTAAGAAACGACCAAAAAAGAAATGCCAATGCAAAAAAACGGAATTGGGGAGGACATCGATAAAAAATCAACAACACATAAACGGATCGAGCAAGCACTCTTAAAGGTCTGGGGGGTGTCGATATCATAAACAGACTTAGCTATAGAGAGATGCAAGTAGTAATTAAAAAGATCTTTATTAAAGCGCGCTACTGGACAGCCAGTGTTCCGGAGGTGGGCTGGTAAAGTATTCCAGATTCTTGGGGCTCTACAGTAAAAACTGTTCTCAAAGGTGACGGTGTTGGCCCTAATCATATAGTATTCAGCAGCGTTCCCTTGGAGGATACAGTACGCCTGGGTTTAGTGGAATTCATGACAGAAATAAAAGGGTCTTATAAACTAACTAAACATATGAATACGGACACCAAATCTAAGTAGTAGCCCAAAAACCTCCTTGGCACAAGTTTCGCTGCAAAGAACTATTTTTTAGAAATTTTCCTTTGAGTATTATTATAGGAGAGGAGGGGTTAAAAGAGAAAACCAACGCGTCGAAAACGTTGAATAAAACTTCACACTCGCACTAATCTGACTATTAAAAACTGCTTCAGCAAGCCACAGATCATTCAAAACGGAAGCAATGCGCTTGTGATCATTAACATCAGCAGTTGACAATAGGATGTTTAACACTGAAGAACTCCTTCGGTTCCCGCATTTCCCTTTCACTCTGTTAAAATTTAATGAAATATGACGCTGCTAAAGGTAAAAGCTACTGGTCTATAATGCTATTATAGTTTTGAAAAAGGGGGTCTAATTTCCAAAAAACAGAGCTTTTAAGCAACATTTTTAAAATGCTATGGAGAACATTACTATTTGATTGATGTGTTGTAGAGCGCTGCCTATCAGCCCACAACAAACCGACTTGTGCTATCAGGGCCGTAGCTAGGTTTTTTGTTACGGGGGCCATCACCAGAACCTTGAAGGGGGGCCTGGGAGTTCACAGCGGTCAAATGAGTGAAATTTGCAAAAGTTAAGCGAAATAGTTCAAAGTTAAGGTCGCTACTTTCACTATCGAAAGTTTAGGGTATTACCAACATCCTGTTAGTTTACTAAACTTTTTAAAAGTTTACTTAAAAAGTTCTAAGTGATTGAAAACCGATGCTGACGTTATTATCGGCGCCATTTTCAAACATGATTCTCTTTCTCTAATCTAAATACCATGGATACAAACAAGGGACTTTGTCCTCGCCTTGTGAGTGCCTGGCTTTGATATGTCCAGACATGCAGGGTAATAAGAAACTCGTTTTTTTACGAAAGTCATCACAAAGCGACAGACCACTAGAAAAAAGGCCCCACAAAACACTACTCTTTGAAATCAGGAGCAGTGAAATACAAAAAATTTGAAAACGACAAAAAAAAAAACAACAACAACAACAACCAAGATAGGGAGGCCCTGCATTTCTGGAAACCAGTGACAATAGAACCACGATTAAAAAAATAATAACTACTTAAAAAATGAAATAATAATTTAAAAAAACAATACCCGCTCAGGTCCACGATTTCTCATAATAGATTACGTAATATATATACTGCAAAGAAGTCCTTTTTTTCCCTCAACATCGGTTTTTTGAGGAGCGAACGACGAAACTGGGTGAGATTTTGGCGCGAAACGCGTGAGTCCCAGACGACCGTAAAGGCCGATACACACGAGGGGTTTTGCTCCCCGAGAATGCTCCAGGCTCATTTTGTGTCAGTACACACGAGGGAGCGTTTTCAAGTTCGCTCAATTTCCCCCGGGAGCTTGCTCCCAAATATTTAACCGGTTAAATATCGTGGAGCATTTTGCTGGGTGGAAATTCTGCTCCCGAGGATGAGGTATACCAACGAAATCTTTGGTACACTTAAGGTAAACTTAAACTTAAGGTAACTGTCAGGTCATGTCTTGTAGTATTTTAAAACTGATATGCGTGTGTTTCTAGGCAAAATATCACTCAAACTGGGGGTATAAATGAACACATCAAGGAACCCCTGGTAGACATCTTAGAAACCCTAAGGGGCAGCAATTATTTAGGACTCTTTCCTATGTCAGAACTAACCGGCTGGAACGGTCATTTTGAGCTGTTTAATAGCTAGACTTTATTGTTCATTCAATTTTTATCAGCTCCAGTTCCCCTGATCACCTCGGCATGGATAGAGTATATATAGGGCCAACAAGAAGAAAACATAAAATGTTTGTTTGCTTACGAACTAAGTAACCACTCGATCTCCTCATTCTCATCTTCCCACTGATTAACGTTATATTGAATAACAGGCATAGAATAGCATCAATAGAAAGTATAAGTACACTAAACGCTGGAGAGAGAAGTGACTAAAATCGTTCTGGAAGGGTCCTTTTTGTAGGCAGCATCTGCAGCGGCAAGACATTTCCGTCAGAGAAAGCCTTTCTTAGTAAAATCGAAGGCTAACGTAAATTTGTCTTTCTCAGTAATTCCTAGTTAAAATCAATGTTCAGATTCTACAACAAACTGAGCGTGGATCTAAAATGCACCTCTGAACAGTTTAAGTACCGTATTTATTCGATTAACAGCGCGCCCTGGGCGTTTTTTCGAGGCTGGGTGCTTATCATAAATTTTCACTATTTTCAGCAAGTGTAGTATGTTTATTTTGCAAAAAAAAAAAACAATAAATTGTAATAACGAAACCGGAAGATGTAATAAAGCAAGGTTGCTGAGAAATACTTTGAAGAAAACTCCGTCGTCTTCTTTCTTCTGCCTTTAGGATGGGCGCTTATTCGAATAAATACGGTATTCCTATATGTGGGAGCCCACGTATAGTTCCTGTTCCATTTATGCAACAATATTTTCCTAGGAGCAATGTTCTGTGAATATGCCTGATTTAAATAGGAACATTTAATTGAGAATGGTTTGTGTATTGTCTTGAATGCGATAAGTGCATCATGCCCTCATTGTCCAAAATTTTACATTTTATGAATACCTTATTACAGCGTACTTTACAGCTCCCAAAATTGTACATTGGTTGGTTATTTAACATTAGTTAAACTAAAAAATCAAAAAATGAAAGAAAGAAATTGCTTTAAAAATCATATTGAATTTTAAAAAAGGAAACTTCGTCTTTGTTAGAAATTCTTCCATATCCTAGTGTTCGGAAGATGGCTACCACAGTAGATTATAACTGAGGTATAGAATAATAACAAGACGATTGAAAATCATCTAACAGACATAATACGTAATACTTAAACACTTTCTTACACCCACTTATCCTACACTAAATACGGCCTACACGCAGGTCAGCGGTATACAGATATTCGTTATTCCGTCTCGCAAAGGGCCCTTGTCCTTTGGCGGTCTCCAATTAGAAAAATTTTCCTGATTTTCCACCTGCGGTTCACCTGAGGGTTGCTCACGTACTGTTAATGGTAAGTCAGACACGTGGGATTTTCTCTTCTTTCTACGCTTTAAAACACATGCAGGAACTCCTGTTAGACATCTTAGATACCCTAAGGGGCAGCAATTATTAAGGACTCTTTAGTATGTCAGAACTAATCGGCTGGAACGGTCATTTTGAGCTGTTTAATAGCTAGCCTTTATTATTCATTCAATTTTTATCAGCTCCAGTTCCCCTGGTCACCTCGGCATAGATAGAGTATATATAGGGCCAACAAGAAGAAAATATAAAATGTTTGTTTGCTGACGAACTAAGTAACCACTCGATCTCCTCATTCTCATCTTCCCACTGATTAACGTTATATTGAATAACAGGCACAGAATAGCATAAATAGAAAGTATAAGTATACCAAACGCTGGGGAGAGAAGAGACTAAAATCGTTCTGGAAGGGTCCTTTTTGTAGGCAGCATCTGCAGCGGCAAGACATTTGCTTCAGAGAAAGCCTTTCTTAGTAAAAACGGCCCCTTGTCCTTTGGCGGTCTCCAATTGGAAAAATCTTCCTGATTTTCCACCTGCGGTTCATCTGTGGGTTGCTCCCGTACTGTTAATGGTAAGTCAGAGACGTGGGATTTTCTCTTCTTTGTACGCTTTACAAACACCACAAGGAGGCATATTAATAAGGTTACGACTGCACCCCCAAAGAAACTTCCCACCACCACGCCAGGTAAGCTGTTTGAACCATTTGAGCTCTTAGTATCTCCTGTGAGTCAAAAAGACCGAGATGGTAGCTTTATCTTGTAAGAGTTATACAAATGAGTTCTCATGTAGAGCTTAAGTTTGAGACGCAACGTATCGCTTTAGACATTTTTATTAATTTGCTCGCAGGCTTAAATTTGAAACATAGTTAAACTTAAAAACTGTCACCTTCAAAACTTTACAAGACTCAAAGAACTTACCCTTGTCCGGTATTGTTCTCGTGGGTATTTGGGTAGTAGTTTCCGAGTTCTTTGGTACCACGGTATGTTTTGTTGCTGTACTTCTGTTCATACTTGGGCGGCCCCCGTGGTTTTTCATATCTGATGTGACATACTCCCAAGACGACGATTTTGACGGTTGTACTGACGATGTTATAAGTTCGTATAACGATGACTCTGGTCCAGCAGTGGCAGCTGAAGCGTGTGATGATGTTGATCCCGGCACAGATTTTGACGGAGAAAATGGTGATGATTTTAATACAAAAGTTGACACTTTTACAGGCTGCGGAGATGGCACTGAGAGAGAGAGTGACTCTGATACTGATGAAGGTGTAAATGATACAGATATTGATGCTGATGAGTCCAATGATGATATTGTAACCGTTTTTGATGATGCTAACGACGCCGAGGCTGATATAGACACTTCTGACGTTGATGCTGGGACAGTTATTGAGGAAGATGTTGCTGGGAATAATTCCGGAGGGGATCCCGACACGAATGATGACGGAATTGGTACCGATATAGATGACACTGAAATGGAGAGTGTCATTGTCGTTAATTCTAATGATGCCATCGAAAATGGTAACTTCGATTTTGATGCTATAAATGACGAAGATGGCGATACAGGCTCGAATACTGATTGCAGCACAGAAGTGGATGACGTTCGATAAGCTGATTTCGATGGAGGCATTGGCACTGATGTCGACACTGGCTTGGATTTCAGTTGCTGCTTTGACACTGGGGACGAAGAGTACATTGTCATTGAAGCTGAAGGTGCAGCTAACCTCGATGCTGATATCGTTATTGAAATAGATGTTGTAGGTGACAGAAACGATAATTTTGAACCAGCTATTGACGTAGATCTTGATAGTGACACTGAAAACGAAGCTGCTAATGACACTGGTGCTGCTGATGATATTGACTGAGTCGTTAATAATGTGTATGATGATGAGGCTGTTAGATGGAAAGATGATTGCGTATCTGAGAAGGATGGTGTTGGTAAAACTGAAACTGATCGTGCTGCTGAAGATGATGCTCAAAGAAACATTGAAGAGGATGTCGGTGGTGACACAGTTACCGATAATAGCGCTGACATTGGTGATGATAGAGGAAAAAACCTTGATGCTGTTGGCGATACTGAAACTGATACTGAATTCACGATAGGTAGTGTTGTTGACTTTGACGCTAAAAGTGCCCCCCGCAAATATGTTTTCAGCAATGATGTTGCCGAAAATGATACATGCACTGACCCTGACAGTTGCTCTGACATAGATTTTGAGGGTGACATTGACGATAGTCCGAAATGTGCTCGTGACAATGGTGCTGATGGTGATGCTAACATGGATGCCGTTGATATCAATGGTATTGATGATAATTTTGACACCCACACAGATGGTGTCTTTGACAATAGCGCCGATGGTAAAACTATTATTGATTTTGATGAGGAGTCTGATGCAGATGGTGACACTGACAGGGATTCTAGTTTTGATTCTGAAAAAGAAGGTACATTTGCTGGCTTCAAGGCTGACCATGAAACTGTTAGGAATGTGGGTGACAGAGACACTGATAATGAATGTGAAACTGACATGGATGTCGTGTTTGACAATAATATTGAAGGCACTGCTTGTTTCGAGACTGATGCAGACAGTGACAGGGGTGTTGTTTGTATTACTGATGATTGCGACGCTAACATAGATTTTGTCTGTGACAATAAACTTGACGGTGACACTGTCAGTGATTGTAATGCAGACAATGATACCAATGATAATACTGTCAGAGATGATGGGCTAGTCATTGCCACTGATGCCGAATATGCTGACAAGGATTTTGTTGGTGATAATGACACTGATGATGATCGTGACACTGTTATTGACGTTGAATGTGACACTGAAATTAAAGGTGCCACTGAAAAAGATTCCAATGGAGACTCTGATACCGGCGCAGGCAGTGATTCTGACGACACTTCCAGTGACAATGCTGTAAATGAAGCTGATGATACCGCTTGTGAAATCAACAGGGTTGAAGGCATAAATAGGGGTGTTGTGGGTGACAGCAATGCCGATGCCGATACATATGCTACTGGTAACAATGAGAATGATGTTGGTACTAACACTGAGACTGTCTGAGACACCTACGCCAATGCTGCTGATGATTTTAACAATGTTTCTTCCTGTGAAGCGAACTCAGATGCTAAAGATGCTGTGAATGAAAATAATGGCGATACTGGCTCTAGGAATGACTGTAGCAGAGCGATGCGTTTTGTTGTCGACCATTGTGATAAATGTAATGCTGATTGAGATAAAGACAAAGAAGGTGTTGGTGAAACTGGTACCGATGGTGTTGCTGATACTGGGGCAGAAAGAAATATTGACACTGATGCCAGTGGTGATACTGATAAGGTCGTCAATGATAATTCTGCACTCGGTAGTACCACTGACAAAGAAAAACGCAGTTGCTGTTTTGACCTTGACACTGAAAGCGACACTGGCACGGATGTCGTGTTAGATAATTTTGCCGATGGTAATACAGACAGTAGTCTTGATGTCGACTCCGACATTGATGTTAATTCTGACAATGAAAATGTTTCTGAACGTGTTCGTGACAATGGTGCTAATAGTGACACTGACAAGGATGCTGTTGACACTGTCATTGATACTGATTTTACTACCAATTTTGTTGCAGAATTCGTTGCTAATAGTGATACTGACGAGGATGTTTGTAGCGACACTGATGCCGACAGAGATGCTGATTGTGACTCTGACCCAAGTGATGGAAGAGTTGGAGACATAGATAAATAAGGGGCTCCCGGTGAAACTGCCGTTGATGTATTAGGTGATGTTGATCGTGCCTCTTCAGCAGATATTGTGGGTATCCATGTATAAGATGTTGGTGGTAAAGCTGACGCTAAGTGTGTGGCAGGATTCGGAGCTGATGGTGTCAGTGACACTAATGCTGACCGGTTAGTCAACAATGATACCGGTGGTAACACGGACATCGATTTTGACACTGACACAGTTGCTATTTTTTCTAGTGATAGCGATGCTAATAGAGATTCTGACATTGAAGCTGGGGCAGTTATTGAAAGGGACACTTGCACGGAGGCTGACTTTGATAATGTTGCCGAAGTTAATGGAGATTTTAGCCTTGACGTCGACGCCGACGCGGATGTTGATTGTGATATTGACAATGATCCTAAACTTGTTCGTGACAATCGTACTGATAGTGTCACCAATGTAGATTTTTCTACTAAATCGTATGAAGAAATCGTTTGTGCCGATGTTGGTTGCGTCACTGATACTGCCGGTGGTACTGCACTTGATGCTGATTGTGATAACGACGCAAGTGATGAAGTAGTTGGAGATACAGACAATGAAGCGATTGCTGACACCGATGATATTGGTGGCACTGAAACTGATGAATTAGGTGAAGATGATGCTGATCGTTTATCTCGCAAACCTGTAGGTGGTATTGTAATGTATGCTGTCGGTGACGCTGTTGCCGATTGTGTTACAGGAGCAGCAACTGATGGTGACCATGAAACCGATGCTGATGGTGCCGGTGACATCGATTGTGAAGCTGTCAGGGTTGCTGGTTTTGCTAGTGATAGGGATAACGATGGAACTTCTGACGTTGATGATGGGACAGTTATTGAGGAGGATGTCGCTGAGAATAATTCCCAAGGGGATCCCAACACGAATGATGACGGAATTGGTACCGATATAGATGACACAGAAATGGAGGGTGTCATTGACGTTAATTCTAATGATGACAGCGATAATGGTGACTTCGATTTTGATGCTATACATGACGAAGATGGCGATACAGGCTCTAATACTGATTGCAGGACAGAGGTGGATGATGTTGGATAAGCTGCTTTCGATGGAGGCAACGGCAATGATGTCGACACTGGCTTGGATTTCAGTTGTTGTTGTGACACTGGCAACGAAGAGTACTTTGTCATTGAAGCTGAAGGTGCAGCCAACCTCAATGCAAATATGGCTATTGAAATAGATGTTGTAGGTGACAGAAACGATAATTTTGAAGCAACTATTGAAGTAGATTTTGATAGTGACACTGAAAACGAAGCTGCTAATGACACTGGTGCTGCTGATGATATTGACTGAGTCTTTAATAATGCGACTGATGAGGAAGCTGTTAGATGGAATGATGATTGTGTATCTGAGAAGGATGGTGTTGGTAAAACTGAAACTGATCGTGCCGCTAAAGATTGTGCTGAAAGAAACACTGACAAGGACGCTGGTGGTGACACTGTTATCGGTAGCAGCGCGGACAATGATAATGATAGAGGAAAAAACCTTGATGCTGTTGGCGATACTGAAACTGATGCTGAAATCACGATAGGTAGTGTTACTGACTTTGACACTAAAAGCGACCCCCGCAAAGATGTTGTCAGCAGTGATGTTGCCGCAAGTGACACATGCACTGATCGTGACAGTTGCCCTGACATAGATTTTGAGGGTAACATTGACAATAGTTCGGAATGTGCTCGTGACAATGGTTCTGATGGTGACGCTAACAAGGATGCCGTTAGTACCAATGGTATCGATGATAGTTTTGACCCCGACACAGATGGCGTGTGTGACAATAGCGGCGAAGGTAGAACTGTTATTGATTTTAATGTGGACTCGGATGCAGATGTTGACACTGAAGGGGATTCTGGTTTTGATTCTGAAAAAGAAGGTAGATTTGGCGGCTTCAGTACTAACGATGAAACTGTTAGGAATGTGGGCGACAAAGACACTGATAATGAATGTGAAACTGACATGGACGTTTTGTTTGACGATGATATTGAAGGCACTGCTTGTTTCAAGACTGATGCAGACAGTGGCAAGGGTGTTGTTTGTAATACTGATAATCGCGACTCTGACATAGATTTTGTCTGTGACAATAAACTTGACGGTGACACTGTCAGTGATTGTAATGCAGACACTGATACCAATGATAATGATGGCAAAGATGATGGTCGAGACATTGTCACTGATGCCGAATATGCTGACAAGG